ACAGCTAAGAGCCTGGGGCCTACTTCAGATTCTGTGTCTCCCTCTCTCTGCCCCTCCCCTGCTCTCTCTCTCTCTCAAAAATAAATAAAAACATTTAAAAAAATTTAAAAAAACAAACATTTCACCCATTTCTTTCCCCAGCTCCCTCAATCTCCAGTCTGTTCTTTGTATCTATAAGCTTGGTCTTTTATCCCACATATAAAAGAGATCGTATGATATTTGTCTTGCTCTGATTTATTTCACTTGCATAATGCCTTTGAAGTCCATCCATGTTGTCACAGATAGCAAGATTTCATTCTTTTCTATGGCTAAATAATATTCCATTGTGTGTGTATATACACTACAATTTCTTTATCCGTTCATCTGTGGAAAGACAATTAGGTTGTTTCCATATCTTGGCTATAACAAACAACCCTGTAGTGAACATGGTGGTGCATTATCTTTTCAAGTTAGTGATTTCATTTTCTTAGGATAAATACTCAGAAGTGGAATTGCTGGATCATATGGTAGTTCCATTTTTAATTTTTTGAGGAGCTTCTGTACTGTTTTCCATAGTAGTTGCACAAATTTACATTCTCACCAGTAGTACACAAGGGTTCCCTTTTCTCCACATGCTTGTGAGCACTTGTTATTTCTTATTGATAATAACCATTCTAACAGGAGTGAGGTGATAGCCTGTTGTGGGTTTGATTTGTATTTTCCTGATAATTAATGATGATGAGCATCTTTTCATGTACCTGTTGACTATCTAAAAGTCTTTGAAAGGGCACCTAGGTGGCTCAGTCGATTAAACATCCGTTCAAGCTGTGCATTGGGCTCTGTGCTGACATCTCAGAGCCTGGAACCTGCTTCAGATTCTGTGTCTCCCTCTCTCTCTGCCCCTCCCTCCGCTCGTTCTCTCTCTGTCTCTCTCCCTCTCCCTCTCTGAAAAATAAACATTAAAAATTTTTTTTAAAAAGTCTGAAAAATGTGTATTCAGATCCCCTGCCCAGTTTTTAATGGGTTTGTATATAATTTTGCTATTGAGATGTATGAGTTATTTATATATTTTGGATATTAGCCCCTTATCAGATAAATGACTTACAGGTATTTTCTCCCATTCAGTAGTAGATTGTCTTTCATTTTGTTGATGGGTTTTCTTGCTGTGCTAAAGCTCTTTAGTTTGATGTAGTCCTACTTGTTTGTTTTTGCTTTTGGTGTCATGTTAAAAAAGTCATCACCAAGACGTATGTTAAGGAGCTTACCATTTATGTTTTCTTCTAGGAGTTTTGTGGCTTAGGTCTTTTATTCAAGGCCTTAATCTATTTTGAATTTTTGTATATGGTATAAGACAGTGGTGCAGTTTTATTCTTGTATATGTGGTTGTCCAGATTCCCCAGCACCAATAATTGAGATTGTCCTTTCCTTATTGTGTATTCTTGGTTCCTTTGTTATAAATTAATTGGCGACATATTTGTGGGTTTATTTCTGGGCTCTCTCTTCTGTTCCATTGATCTGTGTGTCTTTATGCCCATATCATGCTGTTTTAATTACTTTAGCTTTGTGATATAATTTGAAATAAGGGAGTCTGATGCCTCCAGCTTTCTTCTTTTTCAAGATTGCTTTGGCTTTTGGGGGGTCTTTTGTGGTTCCACACAAATTTTAGCATTGTTTGTTCTATTTTGGTTAAAAATACCATTGGAATTTTGATAGGGGTTGTATGGCATCTGTATATTGTTTTGGTAGTATGATCATTTTAATAACATGTGTCCAGTCCAGGAGCATGGGATATCTTTCCATTCATTTATGTCTTCATCAATTTCTTTCATTAATGCCTTACCGTTTTCAACATACATGTCTTTCACCGCCGTGTTTAAATTTATTCCTAGGTTGTTTGTTTTTGTTTTTGTTTTTGATGCAATTGTAAATGTGGTTGTTTCAATTTCACTTTCTGATAGTTCATTATTAGTGTATGGAACCACAATGAATTTTTGTGTATGTATTGATTTTGTGTCCTGCAACTTTACTGATTTTGTTTATTTTCAGGGTTTTTTTTTTGTGGTGTCCTAGGGTTTTCTGTATATAGTATTATGTAATATGCACAATTTTCCTTTTTCCTTTTCAATTTGGATGCCTCTTACTTTTCTCACTGAATTGCCCTGCCTGGACTTCCAATATTCTGTTGAACAACGTGGCGTGAGTGGGCATTCTTATCTTGTTCCTGATCTCAGAGGAAAAGCTTTCAGCTTTTCATTATTAAGTATGATGGTATCTCTGAGCTTATCTTATAGAGCTTTTATTAAGTTGAAGCATTTCTCTCTATACTCACTTTTAAGAGTTTATCATGAATGGATGTTGAATTTTGTCAAGTGCTTTCTCTTCTTCTATTGAAATGATCATATGATTTTTATCTTTCATTTTGCTAATGTGTTATATCACATTGATTTACAGATGTCAAACCATTCTTGCATCCCTGGAATAAATCCCAGTTGATCGTGGTATATGCTCCTTTCACAGTATTGTTGAATTCAGTTTGCTGGTTATTGTGTTGAGAATTTTTGGATCTGTGTTTATCAGTGATATTAGCCTGTAATTTTCTTTTCTTTTTAAATTTTTTTAACGTTTACTCATTTTTGAGAGAGCGTGAGCAGGGGAGGGACAGAGAGAGAGGGAGACACAGAATCAGAAGTAGGCTCCAGGCTCTGAGCTGTCAGCACAGAGCCTGATGTGGGGCACGATCATGACCCAAGCCAAAGTCGGACACTCAACTGACTGAGCCATCCAGGTGCCTCTGTAATTTTCTTTTCTTGTGGCATCCTTGTCTGGTTTTGGTATTAGGGTAATGCTGAGTTTATAAAAGGAGTTTGGGCAAGTTCCCTCTTTTTTTTTTTTTTTTTTTTTTTTTTTTTTTTTTGAAGAGTTTGAAAAGGATTGAAGGATTAATACTTACTCCTTTGGAATGTTTGGTAGAATTTATCAATTCTGTCTCCTTTTGGGTGACACTGATTATTACAGTCCCATGGGATTAGGAACTCAAGCTCTCCTGGCCTCCAGAGCCAGAGGATCAAGAGGTGTCCCCTGGGTAGTAGCTGTAAAAATTAGGGCTCCAGACTTGTGTAAAAAGCTCTGGGAGGTGCTGGTGCTCTGGAGCACTACAAAGGAAGGGGACAAAGATGGCGCCCAGCAGGCTCTAGGATGATGTGTTATATTAGATGCCTGCCCCTCAGGTTGTTTGTTTGTTTGTTTGTTTGTTTGTTTGTTTCTTTCTTTCTTTCTTTCTTTCTTTCTTCCTTTTTAATGTTTATTTATTTTGAGAGAGAAATAGAGAGGAGGGGCAGAGAGACAAAGAGAGAGAATCCCAAGCAGGCTCTGTAGTGTCAGTGCATAGCCCAGTGTGGGGCTTGATCCCACAAACCGTGAGGAGGTTGTTTCTTTAATAGAGGCAGGTGAAGTCTGGGTGGGATTGACTTCTCCTCTGAGCTGGGCCCTGGGACGAGTCTGAGTATATGAGCCCTTTCTGGGATCACAGTCTTGGCATGCAAGCTCTGCTGCTTTTTATTTTTATTTATTTTTATTTTTATTTTTATTTTTATTGTATTACATTGTATTTTTAGGGAAATGTGTTCTTTTTAAAGTTTATTTATTTTGAGAGAGGGAGTTGGGTCCACACTGTCA